ACGAAGAAGAGAGATAACTATATTTGAGTGAGTTTTATTCAAATAAATAATTGTTATGATGGAAAATGTAACGTTCATCTATTGGAGAATTTTATTTCTAATTATTATAAATATATTTGATTATTCAATAACTGTACAAATCAATTTTTATGAAACTCATTCACAACAATATTGTTTAAATTATTATGTTCTCAATAATACTGGGGATTATAATGCATTATTTCTACTTCGTCCTAGTCATCAAATAGTTCCTTATTGTTTAGATATTCTAGAAGATAATAATTATAAAGTAATAAATTATGATAGTTTTTATACATTTCAACAAATGAAAACAAACCAAATAACAAGTGAAAATTTAATTCAATGGTCGGCTCCTATCAGTTTAGCAGAGAATTATGAAAAATTTCTAAGTAATTCAGATGAATTATCAAGTTCATTAATTTTCTATAATTGTACAAAAGGATGGTTTGGTTATCGATGTGAATATACATTATATGATAATGATTTAACTTTTGCTGAATTAATACGAGAAATTGTTCTTGAAAGACGTCGTGATGAGGAACGAGTTACGTTTCCTAATGGCACCTGTTATATACATTTACAATGTAACTATGGTATGAGTCTAACATGTCTGGACTGGCGCGAAATTTGTGATGGAAAAAGAGATTGTGATGATGGTGTTGATGAACCACAAGAATGTTTGGAACGTGAAGCAAATGAATGTTTAGAAGGTTATTATCGATGTCATAACGGTCAATGCATACCTGATAAATTTTATCAAGATGATGATAGATTAAATCCTGATTGTTCGGATTGGACAGATGTTATAGACGCTCTTGACGAAAATACCTGTTATCGAGATTCAACTTTTAGTTGTGAAGAACGTACATGTTCAAAAGAAAAGATTTTTCCTCTTGGTAATGGTGCATGTAGAAGTATGCTCTATATATTTCGTCTAAGTAATCATAATCGTATTACAAATGCACTTCAAAATCTAATTGATTCTAAATTAAATTCTCATTTATCGAGTAAATGTTTACATATTATGATTTGCCTGTCAGGACTCTATTACTTAATAAATAATCGTGGGAAATGTAAGGACATTAACCAAAATACACTACAAAATTCTGATTGTCCATCTGTTCCATTTCTTTTTCCTTTGGGTCCTGTCGCTTTTGGACACATTTACCTTGTATATGTAAAAAATGGAAGTATATTATCAACTTATTTTGAACATCGTATAACTCCATATCTTATATGTTACGATAAGCAATTATGTGGTTCAATCCATAATATGTCAGAGATAAATTATAATGGTTTTACTTGTCAATATTACTTTTATCCATCCGATAAACCTATGCTTGGCTATTTATGGATGCAAATAATGGAATATATTTATTCAACTTTTCGATCATGCGCGCCAGTAATACCATTGAATTGTACAAATCTATTTCAATGTGAACAATCA